GTTACTCTTATTTTGTCACCATCCTGTTTAAAACTCTTCTGTGGCTTTCTTTACTTCAGTACCAGAATTGTGTTTGTCTGATGCCCTGCAAGGGCTGTCTGTGCTTGTGTATGCAGCCCGGCTCATGCCACGTTTCTCATGCCATTGCCCCTCCTGCTTCAAGGTCTTCATAACTGTTCTCTTAATGGGGGCCTGCCCTGCTCTCCTGGGCATAGTTAACTGCTGCTCGTGCCTCAGAACTTCTTTTAGTTAAGGGAACTGCCCTCCCTAACCCCTTGTTGGTTCCCTAAGTAAATGTTCTTATTGACACCTGATGCTTTTACTTAGTGGCAGTTATCATAGTTGCAGTTGGACGTTGTCTAATTATTTGTGTAAATTCTGCCTCCCCTAATAGAATGTCATCTCTAAGAAGGAAGGGATGGTGTCTGTCTTGTTCTCAAGGATCTTGTATAGAATAGATGCCCAGTGAATACTTCCTGAGTAAATGAATAAATGAAACCCATCCTGAATGTGGGACCATACTGTTCTGAAAGGGCACTGACCAAGGAGTCAGACAATGTGTGTTCTGGTCATTGTGCTGCCATAAACTTGCTGAGAGACCTGGAGCGAGGTGATATGCCTCTTGGAGCCTGCTTTCCTACCTGTAAAATGGGGTTAACAACACCATGTCTACTGCATGTAGACGTGGAGAGGGATAAAAAGGGATACAAGACAATGTAAATGTATAACCAGCAGAGAGTAAGCATTCAATAAAATTGCCTTTTATTTTTCTTGGTGTCTTGTCACTTCACCAGTGAAATGGGAATAATTTGACTAAATAATTTTTAGAGTTTCTTCCAGTTCAAAATTATAGTTGACCCTTGAACAACACGGCAGTTAGGGGCACCAACCCCTAGAGCAGTCAAAAATTTATGTATAACTCTTGACTCCCAAAAACTTAACTGCTAATAGCCTACCAGAAGCCTTACCAATAACATAAACAACACATATTTTCTGTTATATGCATTATATGTTGTATTCTTACACTAAAGTAAGCTAGAGAAAAGAACTTACTAAGAAAAGTATAAGGTGTAGAAGAATAAAACTGGATCCTCATCTTTCACCTTATACAAAAATCAACTTAAGGTGGATCAAAGACTTAAATCTAAGACCTGAAGCCATAAAAATTCTAGAAGATAACATCAGAAAAACTCTTTTAGACTTTGGCTTAGGCAAAAAGGTCATGACCAAGAACCCAAAAACAAATGCAACAAAAACAAAGATAAATAGATGGGGCTTCATTAAATTAAAAAGCTTCTGCGCAGCAATAGAAACAATCAGCAAAGTAAACATACAACCCACAAAGTGGGAGAAAATATTAATAAACTACGTATCTGACAAAGGACTAATACCCAGAATCTATAAGGAAGTCAAACAAATCAGCAAGAAAAAAGCAAACAATCCCATCAAAAAGTGGGCCAAGGACATGAATGGACAATTCTCAAGGAGGATATACAAATGGCCAACAAACATATGAAAGAAATGCTCAACACTACTAATTATCAGGGAAATGCAAATCAAAACCACAGTGTAATACCACCTTACTCCTGCAAGAATGAACATAATTAAAAAATCAAAAAATAATAGATGTTGGCAAGGGTGTGGTGACACTGCTGGTGGGAATGTAAACTGGTACAACCACTATGGAGATTTCTTAAGTAACTAAAAGAAGAACTACCATTTGATCCAGCAATCCCATTACTGGGTATCTACCCAGAGGAAAATAAGTCACTTTATGAAAAAGACAACACACAACATGTTGCACACAACATCTTTATAGTGGCACAACTCCCAATTGCAAAAATATGGAATCAGCATAAATGCCCATCAATCAATGAGTGGATAAAGAAAATGTGGTGTATATATATGAATATGCCATAAAAAGGAACAAAGTAGGCCGGGCGCGGTGGCTCACGCCTGTAATGCCAGCACTTTGGGAGGCCGAGGCGGGCGGATCTCGAGCTCAGGAGATCAAGACCATCCTGGCTAACATGGTGAAACCCCATCTCTATTAAAAATACAAAAAAATTAGCCAGGCGTGGTGGCGGGTGCCTGTAGTCCCAGCTACTTGGGAGGCTGAGGCAGGAGAATGGCATGAATCTGGGAGGCGGAACTTGCATTGAGCCGAGATCACGCCACTGCACCCCAGCCAGGAAGACAGAGCAAGACTCTGTCAAAAAAAAAAAAAAAAAAAAAGGAACAAAATAATGGTATTGACAGCAACCTGAATGGAATTGGAGACCATTATTCTAAGTGAAGTAACTCAGGAATGGAAAACCAAACATATGTTCTCACTTACAAGTGGGAGCTAAGCTATGAGGATGCAAAGACATAAGAAGGATACAATGAACTTTGGGGACTTGTGGAGAAGGGTGGGATGGGGATGAGGAATAAAAGACTACACATTGGGTACAGTGTACACTGCTTAGGTGATGGGTGCACCAAAATCTCAGAAATCACACCCAAAGAACTTATCCCAAAGAAAAAAAAAAAAGAACTTCTCCATGTAACCAAACATCACCTATTCCCCCAAAACTGAGATAATAGTAATAAAAAATTTTAAAAAAGAAAAGCATAAAGAAGAAAATATACTGACTAAGTGAAAGGGGATCATCAAAGGTCTTCATCCTTCTTTTCTTTACGTTAAAGCAGGCTAAGGGGGAGGAGGGGTTGGTCTTGCTATCTCGGGGATGGCAGAGGCGGAAGAAAATCCACATATAAGTGGATCCACACAGCTCAAACCCATGTTTTTCAAGGGTCAGCTGTACTTTGATTTCTTCTGAGCTACAGTGTCCCCTTCCTCTACCCTCACTTCCCTCCACCACTAGCTCCATTCCTGACTACTTTCTTCTACTGTTCTCAAGCCCAGGATACATCAGCTCTCCCTGGGAAAGACAAAAGCCATCTTCATGCCGCCAGGGTATGGCAGTTTATCTCATACCTACTGTTTCACCACCACCCTATCCTCTATCACTCATTGTTTCATTTACATTTATAAGATATTTTTGAGTTTCCACTATTGTGTGTGGTAGACTCTCACCCCTCAAGTTCTGTTCTTTTTCTTGTGCCTTCCCACATACTCTGTTGAGTGGGAGAAATAATGCATAATCAGCAAATATATAGAAAGATGCTGGTGTGTTTTTGAGGGCAGTCCCCCTTAATTAAGGGAGATGGGTTCTAAAAAGTCCTTGTAGATAAACAAATGGGTGATATTTGCTTCTTATCTGAAATTACTAACACAATTGTCTACAACTGGTCATTCAGTGTTCTTGATTTCCCCTGTATTCTTTCAATTACCCTAATTGCTACTAGGTAAAAACTTCAGTCAAGTTTTAATTAATCTTTAATTGTAACTTAAAATAGCTGCAGTTTTTTGTTTGTTTGTTGAGACAGGTCTTGCTCTGTCACCCAGGCTGGAGTGCAGTGGCACAATAATGGCTCACTGCAGTCTCTGCCTCACGGCTTCAAGTAATTCTCCTCAGCCTTCCAAGTAGCTGGGACCACAGGTGTGTGCCATGCCCAGCTAATTTTTTGTTCTTTTCGTAAAGATGGGGTTTTGCCATTTTACCCGGGTTGGTCTTGAACTCTTGAACTCAAGCAATCTGACCATCTTGGCCTCCCAAAGTTCTGGAATTACAGGCATGAACCACAGTGCCCAGCTGCTACTGTTCTCTCTTAACAAGAATCAAGTCTTAGAGCAAGATGCATCTAAACCCACTTTGGGGTATCAAAAATATCCCAATCTTGTGGTTCTATAAATGTTTAACAACTAGATTGGCGTGGAGGCAGAGTGGAGGTTCTGATGTGAACCATTAGTCAGTTTTTGTGCTGTTACCAGACGTCCCCTAATAGGGCTGGGCAGAGATGCTAACAATTGGCTCATGAGGTCAGGTGGGCCTAGCTCCAACACACCACTGTACCCAGTCCCTGAGTTCTTAATCTTCATCACAACCTCCACTTGCTTCCCAGCCATTCTTTCTGATCTCAGTTAATGATGCCTCTCAGTCAGCCAAGGAGACCTGACAGTTCCATCCACTTCCCCCACCCTCATCACTGGATCCTGTTGACTTCTCTCTCCAACGTCTCCTGAGTCTGTCCCGTTGTCCGTCCCCTCCACAAACACCCTGGTCTGGTCTGTCCTGCCCATGGCCTTCATTGCTATGGCATTGACTTTCATTACAATTTCCCTGCCTCCGTGCTGGCCCCTGTCAGCCGCTCTATACTCTAAAGACAGTCAGCCTGCTGACACTTAAATTATGTTAGGCCAGTCTTGTTAAAAACGTTTCTGTGGCTTCCTCTCCGTTAGGATCAGTCCAAACCCTTAGCATTCCTTACTTTACCACACATAGGCTGTGGGCTGGTCTTTGTCTGTCTTATTCTCCACCACCCACCCCTTGCCCTCCTCATTCTAGCTGTTAGGAATCACACGTGTATCCTCCATCACACCAAGCTCTTTCTCTATTCAGGACCTTCCTTTGGAGGAGCTGCTTCCTATATCTGTATGATCACCTCTCCTTCCACTCCCCACCCACTCACCTACCCAGCCCTGTGGCCTAACTGCCTTTTATCCTTCAGTGATTGGAGCATTGTGTCAGTTCCAGCATGACTTCCTTGGGGAGGCCCTAGACCAGGCAGCTCCCCTCATGCAGCCCCTGATGTAGAGCCTGCTCCCTGTCTTCTCCACAGGTGAGGCTCCTGGAGGGCCTGGAATAACCCCATATTCCCAGCACAGCCCGTGGTACCTGGAACATGGTTGGTGTTCCATGAATGTTGAGTCCATTTCTTGGATTTATGCAGGTCCCAGTTTTCTATTAAAGAGTAAGCTCTACATTGTCAAACATGTTCTTACTTCCTGTACTTTGTGTCAGCAGTTTGTCAGCTTAGCACAAAAAGTACCTGATGAATAATTTCTGCCACTAAAGTCAGGTTGTTTTTTCTAACCATTTTTTTTTCTCTCCTAGGTTTCATCGGCTGTATTTCCCAACAAACATATGGCATTCTGCATAAGAATGTCACTTTCCATGTACCAAGCAATATACCTTTAACAGAAATCCTATGGAAAAAACAAAAGGATAAAGTTGCAGAACGGGAAAATTCTGAATTCAGAGCTTTCTCATCTTTTAAAAATAGGGTTTATTTGGACACTGTGTCAGGTAGCCTCACTATCTACAACTTAACATTATCAGACGAAGATGAGTATGAAATGGAATCGCCAAATATTACCGATACCATGAAGTTCTTTCTTTATGTACTTGGTGAGTATTCCATCAGTTGATTTGTTTAAAATGGCAAATTTCCATTTTTTTAGTCTGTTTTCAGAGACTAACACAAACTAATGGTCTATGAGAAAAGAATTAGATGTTACCTATTGTCAGGGTTTTCTCCTTTTCTGGTGGCATACAGGAGCTAGCTACTTTCAATTCCTTTTTTTTTAGTCTGTTTTCAGAGACTAACACAAATCAATGGTCTATGAGAAAAGAATTAGATGTTACTTATTGTCAGGGTTTTCTCCTTTTCTGGTGGTATACAGGAGCTAGCTACTTTCAATTCCTTTGTCATTCCTCTGGGTGAGGAGAGAATCTAAGCAAGGTGTCGGGAGAACAGTATCAGTTGTCTTACTAGGAATGTTCTGGAAAGAGATGTAGTGACAGCAGTTAGCTTAGAACTCTTTGGGCTCCACTGATAGATGTTACTCTACAAAGTTCCTGCTTCCCCACACAGCGGGGAGACTGATTTTCCTCCTGCACCGTTTTACTTAATTAATTAATTTATTTTGAGGAATCTCGCTCTGTTACCAAGGCTGGAGTACAGTGGCACAATCTTGACTCACTGCAACTTCCGCCTCCCAGGTTCAAGCGATTTTACTGTCTCAGCCTCCCAAGTAGCTGGGATTACAGGCGCACACCACCATGCCTGGCTAATTTTTGTATTTTAGTAGAGACGGGGTTTCACTGTGTTGGCCAGTCTGGTTTCAAACTCCTGAGCTCAGGTGATCCACCCACCTCAGCCTCCCAAAGTGCTGGGATTACAGGTGTGAGCCACCACACCCGGCTCCTGCACCATTTTAAACTGAAACTAGATATAGGGGACACATTTCTCCCTGCTTCTCACTAACACTCCTCCCTGGTCCCTAAAGCCCCTTTTGTGTTGTAGTCTTGTATAGGCCCCTGCCTCACATGCCAGTGTTTCTTGGTCATTTTAAGGCCTGCCTCATTTTCATGGTTTCTAACATTCTTGGTGTCTTGGTGGTTGCAATACTTAAATTAAAATTCTGTCAGTATTTTCCTTGATCTCCTCTCCTGAAAGGATCTTGTCCTCTGCGTTACCCACTACCCATACATGTAACCGAGAACTCATCATTACCTCAATGTCAGGTGTCGCACTCTGCCACCATGCCCTGTCCTTGATGATGCTGATGATGACAGTCCTTCACACAACTGATGTCCCTGCTGCCCTCCCTACTCAGCCTGAGTGCTGCTGCCACTTACTCGACTCAGTCCGCCGCAGACACACTTGGCTTCCTTGCTCCTTTGTTGGCTTGTTATACTCACATAGCCAGATTACAGCTAGGTTAAGTCCGGTGCTTTGCCTATTCTGTGCTCACACCCATGTGGTTGCAGAAAAATATACCACCCTGCAAAGTCCTGCACTTTTAATTTCTAATCACTTACCTCAGTTAAGTCTGGTATTTCCTAGCCTGTTCACTTAGCCACTCTCCTAGCAGTTACTTTTTCTCTCCTCAAATCTCGAATACCTCCTTCTCCAGACTCACTCTTGAGCTGAAGGCTTTGCTTCTTATTTCACTAAGGAGAATAAGCAGAGGGCAATTTCCACAAGCTCTCACCACCTGCCTACCTTCCTACCTGTACCTGAGCCTGTAGGCCCTGCTTTCTCTCCTGATATGAATGGACTTTCTGAGTTCTCACCTGAGGTTAAACTTTCCACGCGTGCCCTGGATCCCACCTCCTCTCACCATCCTCGGGAATATCACCCTAGTGCTTCTACCCACTCTCTCCTGATGAGAATTTCCCCCATAAGTTGATGGTTCATTTTAAGCGGCATACATATACACTGTCGTCAAAACTTTCTCATGATCCCCCTACCCCGCCAGCAACCACCACCAACTCTTTGTCTTCACTTTATAGAAAATCTCCTTGAAGAAGTTGTCCATATTCACTTATTCTGATCCCTTATATTCACTTTTAACCCACTCCAAGTAGGCTTTCATCTGCACTGCTATGCCAAAGCTCCTCTAGACCTCCTTGTTAATAAATCCAGTGGTTCATTCTCAGTCCATGTCATTCTTGACATCTCAGCAGCTTTTGACATAGCTGATCACTCCGTCCTCCAAGTACTGTCTTCACTTGATGTCCAGGATACCACCCTATTCACGTTTCTTTCTTCCTTTTTTTTTTTTTTTCTTGAGAGGGGGTTTCGCCCTTGTTGCCCAGGCTGGAGTGCAATGTCACAATCTCAGCTCACTGTAACCTATGCCTCCCGGGTTCAAGCGATTCTTCTGCCTCAGCCTCCCGAACAGTTGAGATTACAGGCATGCACCACCATGCCTGGCTAATTTTATATTTTTAGTAGAGATGGGGTTTCACCATGTTGGTCAGGCTGGTCTCGAAATCCTGACCTCAGGTGATCCACCTGCCTCGGCCTCCCAAAGTGTTGGGATTACAGGCGTGAGCCACTGCGCCTGGTTTCACATTTCTTTCTAACACACTGACTATTCCTTTTCATCTTCTTGTGCTGGTTTCCTCATTTCCCCAACCTCTTAACACTGGAAACATCAAGGCTTAAGCCTTGGGTCTCTTTCCTTTTCTGCCTGCGTTCATAGCCAGTGGGTGAGCTGATCCTATGTCAGGGCTTTAAATATCATCTCAGTGCTAATAATGCACAGATCTAGAGCTCTAGCCCAGAGTACCCCGCCGAGCTCCTTATGTGTATACCTGACTGCCCACTGTACATCTCCACTCAGATATCTAATTGGCCTTTCAAATATCCCATGTCCAGAAGTAAGCTCATTATCTTCCCCTTAAAACCTGCTCCTCCCCAAATCTTTTCCCTTTTGGTTAATGGCAGCTCATCCTTTCAGCTGGTCAGTCTGAAACCTTGATGTCATCCTTGATACCTCTGTTTTTCTTGAACACCACATTCACTCCACCAGGAAGTTGTATTGGTTCTACCAGAATGATCTTTTTAAAACAGAAGTCAGATCATGTCACTCATCTGTGTGGAACTTTCTAATGGCCCCATCTAACTCTGTTAAAGCTAGAATGTGTAAAGTTACCTGCAAAGCTGTGTGAGGTCTGACCCCTATGGACTCTGTTTAGACAAATACAGCTTGCTAAGATGTCAAAGCATACTCTTAGAAGATTTCTTTGAAAAAGTAGAATCTTTAAAACGTGGACATTAGGGATCTGGTAGTTTACAGACAAGGCCAACAAACAAGAAGATTGAGTCAGAATTTAGATCAAACATTTTAAGAGCCCGTTTTATAGAGTTTGTAAAACTAAGTTCAAAACATTTGAATAAGTTTCTCCTCTTAAACTTGATGAAATGTTTTAAAATAATTTAATTTAAAATATTCTAGGCTGGGCATTGTGGCTCAAGGCTATAATCCCAGCACTTTGTGAGGCCAAGGAGGGAGGGTTGCTTAAGCCCAGTAGTTCAAGACCAGCCTAGGCAACATAGCAAGACTCCATCTCTACAAAAATAAAATAATTAACCAGGCATGGTGGCGCATGCCTGTAGTCCCTGCTACTCAAGAGGCTGAGGTGGGAGGATCCCTCAAGCCCAGGAGGCTGAGGCTGCAGTGAGCCGTGATTGTGCCTCTGCACTCCAGCCTGGGTGACAGACCAAGATCCTGCCTCAAAATAACTAACTAGCTAAATACATTAATTAAATAAAACATTCTATGGCAACTCAGCAAAGGTATGGTTTTGGTGGTCAGACCAACTGGATAGACCTTAGGAAGCCTGCAGAGGAGGAAAGTACAGGGGAGGTGAGTTTTGAGCAGGAGGCAGTGATATTGATAGTATTGAGTGTGGGACTTAAAGTCCTGGTTTGAGAGTTTGGACATCAGCTTGTAGCAGTGGGGAGCCATTGTATCCTATACTGGAGCAAGGAGGTGACTTGATAAAATACATTTTTGGAAGATTAATGTGATGGAGAATACTTATGATGGATTAAAGAGAGGAGATGTCAAGTTAGAAGCTACTGTGATCATCCAGGTAGATAGACGGTCTAAGAAAGAGTCTGCAAGATATAGGTTTTGGTTGTAAAAAGACATAAGATGACTCTAGGTTTCACATCTGCATGATAAAATGATTGGTCACACAATTTTTTTTTTTTTTTTTAAGAAATGAGGAAGTCATACTTCCTTGAGGTAATGTTAACACTTGTTTTAGTAACCTGGTAATCTTCTAGAGACACCAGACCTAATAGGAGACTTCCAGTGAGTATATTTTGGACAGGGGGATTTCCTGGCACTTCCTAAATTCAGGGCATCCACTTCCTTCTGTGTGTACATTGAGATCTGGCTTTCCTCTATACCCAAAAGTCCCCTTAAAATTTCTACTTCTGATGTTTATTAGTCCTTTCCCATCTTTTTATGGACCTTCATCACATCTCAGATGATGATTTTTATGTAAGTAGAATTAACTGCCCTGTCCTTAACTGGGCTGGATTAATACTTGACCTTTACTAAAATTTGTGAAAATATACACATATTTCTATAAAATGTCATCAGATATGTGTAAGAAATTCTCATTTTTTACACAGCAGTGAACTCAATTCATTAATTATAAATTGACTAATTGTCTTAGGGAGGAAGTAGACACATTTCTTGCCAGTTTAATGCTGCTTAAAGTAGAGGTATCACCAGTATTTGTTAGATACAGCTGTGGTGAGTCCCGCGGGCAGCAAGAAAATGTGAAAGATGTATAGAAGGAAAAGATCTAAGGTGTAGAAACTGTGATCTAGGTGCTGCAGAAAGGCTTGCACACTTTTAGATGAGTTGGATAGGCCCTTCTACATTTGCTATCTGGCAACTGTTGTGTAATGAGATAGCTAGAAAGAGCTTCTATATAGTCAAGGGAGTTCTAGCAAGTTAGAAGATAATACTAACACTTCTCCATGTTTCCCCTCAAATTACTTTCATATTCTGTTTTTTTTTTTTCTTTTCTTTTCTTTTTTACAAACCCTGCATGTGGCATTCAGCCATATTCTGTTTGACCTTTACAATGGCCTGATACAGCATTCCCTTTCACAGATGAAAATAAGACAATTTAGGAGTCCGTTTCTCTGTTTGTAGAACAAGAGACCTGGATGGATGCTTTCTTAAAACTTCCAGCTCCTAAAAGGACTGTGGTCCCAGGTCACATAGCAGGCCAAGGCTAAGGTTTGATCAAATGTCCCAACTCCCAGTCAGTGACTCTTCTCATCATATCACATATACCCTCTGGGGAGCCTTGGCTTCCTGGAGTTGGAAACTCACAGCCAATGGCCATGTGCTCTATTACAGCTAGCATTTGTTAACTACTTACTCTGTGCAGGCACTACATGTTAATTCACATATTGATTATTATCTTTATTAACTCATTTAATCTCATTACAGTCTAATAGAGTAAGTGCTATTTGTGTCCTTGTAGAAAGGAGGAAACCTAGACACAGGTGATTTAAGTAACTTGTCCAATGTCAAATGGCTCTTAGCTGTCATGAAGCTGGGATATGAATTCAAGCAGTTGGGCTTCTGAGTCCATGCTAAACACCATACTGTACCTCTTTGGCGGTAGCTGGTAGAAGAATTTACATTTTGTTTGAAGACTGTCTCTCTGAATCTATCCTTCTATCCATCTGTCTCCCCATCTGTCCAGTACTACTTGTGAGGAGCCATCTGTGTGCCTTGCGTTATGTCAGGTGCCGTGGTTGAAAGGTGAGGCATACCTAGTCTTTGTCCTCCAAAGATGCACAGTCTCTGGGGCTGATGATGCACCTCTGTTCAGTTCAGAAAGTGCTGGATGAAAGACTAGACGTTGGCAGAGCTAGATCAATACATTAGAATCTGTAACAGAACGAATAGGGCACACACATCAGACGTACCTGGGATGGTGGGGCTCAGGAATCTGTATTTTTAACAAGCACCCTTGGTGATTCTTATGCACCTTAAAATTTGAGAAATGCTTCAAAGGACCATTTCTTTTTTTTTTTTTTTTTTTTTTTGAGACGGAGTCTCGCGCTGTGTCACCCAGGCTGGAGTGCAGTGGCGCGATCTCGGCTCACTGCAAGCTCCGCCTCCCGGGTTCACGCCATTCTCCTGCCTCAGCCTCCGAGTAGCTGGGACTACAGGCGCCCGCCACCACGCCCGGCTAGTTTTTTTTTTTGTATTTTTAGTAGAGACGGGGTTTCACCATGTTAGCCAGGATGGTCTCGATCTCCTGACCTCGTGATCCACCCGCCTCGGCCTCCCAAAGTGCTGGGATTACAGGCTTGAGCCACCGCGCCCGGCCTCAAAGGACCATTTCTAAGGAAGTAGAAAGCTTGGTTTTCTGCCACTGAGAAATGCCCAGCCTAGTTACAGAGGCAGGCATAAGTATATGAAATACTGAGAACAGGCATTTTTGAACTATTCTGGGGATGCATGTTCCTTGGAAGTCCCCTGAGGGCTGCTATTGGGTGGGGTTGGCAAAAGGGACCACAGGAAGTTAGGGGAGCAGGGCTCTAGGCTTTCAATTTTGAGTCAACTAGAGCAACTTCTTATCCATTGGACTGGATTGCACTGAAGATTTAATTCAGAGAAATTCCACTGCTTAAAAGATGATTAAAAGTCTTTTTAATTTAAGAAAATCTTAAGGAAGTATGTAAGGACTTATGTGAGCTAGATTAAACTTAAAAGCTAGGAAGCCCCAAGTAGAAAGGGAAGTCAGTGTGTGCCTCTGGTTTCTACCAAGGCAGCTGGGTACATTATTTAACTGAGCGAGAAGGAATTCAGGAGGAGGAGGAGAAGATGGGGGAACCATTAAACACTTTTATTTTTCAGATTATAATTGAAGCATAAGCTATTAACTTGTTTTATATTATAAAACATCATTTTAAATGACAACATAGTATTCCATTATCTTGGTGAACCTAAATTTACTTAGATGCTCTTCTAATAGATGTTTATAATGTATCAATACTTTATTTTCCCAGTGCTACCATGACCATTGTTGTATATTACATATGTTTTTGCATGTTTCCTCAAGCCTCTTATGATTAATTGCTGGAGGGTAGCTGAAATGCAAGAAGGCATATGAATTAACAAATAAAGGACCAGTAGGACAAAGTAATTAGCCTTGAGGCTTTTAAAGGGCAACAATGGCAGAATGTGACATGTTAGTGTCTTAACTCATAGATCCACGCTGCCTTAGCCAATAGGAGGCGCTTCTTAGAGGAAGGGTGGGAGTGAGGCCTCTGGACTGGCAGGTCTGTGACACATGCTGCACCCGGCGCTGCCTATTAATAGGGCCAACCCAACCAATAGGCAGGGCCTGACAAGGCTCTGTGTAGCTCCACCTTTCACAAAATGCTTTGAGTCAGATGTGTTATGGAATTAAAATTTCTTTTTTACATTTTGGAAAGGTAATACAAGATATTTCCTCTGCATATTAAGCACCCCACTTAATTATGGGGAGCACCCTGTGGGTCAAGCATAGGAACAAGTATTTATTTCATTCCTATATATTTAGAGGTCTCAGTCTGATACAGTCATAGCCCAGTGTGTGCAGTGAGCTAGAGTGAATTAGCACAATCATAACTCACTGTAGCTTCAGACTCCTTGGTTCAAGTAGTCCCAAGTACCTGAGACTATAGGCAGGAGCCATCATTGCTGGCTGATCTTTAAACTTTTTATAAAGACAGGGTCTTGCTATGTTGCCCAGGCTGGCCTTGAACTCTTGACCTCAAGCCATCCTGCTGCCTCAGCCTCCCAAAGTGCTGGGAGTATGTATAGCCATGAGCCACTGTGTCCTGCCAAGCACAGGAATATTTTTGTGGTGAAACGATAATGAATATTTGAAGTAAGTGAGAAAATAAAGACTATAAATCCTTGTGTTAATTCAGGTCAGGTCAGGGTTTGCAGCTTAATGATTTTGCTACCAACTTGTGAAGACTCTTTTGGCTTCAGAGATTTTTTTGATTTCAGAATTGAGGATAAGGGATTTGGGGCCTGTACTGGTCTGTTTTCACACTGCTATAAAGATCTATCTGAGACTGGGTAATTTATAAAGAAAAGAGGTTTAATGGACTCACAGTTCCATATGGCTGGGGAGGCCTCAGGAAACTTACAATCACAGCGGAAGGCGAAGGAGAAGCAAGCATTTTTTTCACAAGGCAGCAGGAGAGAGAGAGAACTGCCACACACTTTTAAACCAACAGATGTCATGAGAACTCACTCTCTATCATGAGAATAGCATGGGGAAACCACCCCCCATGGTACAATCACCTCCCACCAGGTCCTTCCCTTGACACATGGGGATTACAATTCAAGATGAGATTTGGGTGGGGACCCAGAGCAAAACCATGTAAGGGTCTGAATTTATTCTGTTAAATTTGAACAGGTAGGTCTGACCTAGCAAAAGAAAGAATTCTCAGTCCTTGATGCTCAAGGAGTTTGTCTGCTCATCCTTTCAAGCTCATAAGGAAGTTGGGAGCTCTTCATAAATTTGCAGATGATGAGTCTAAATATTACTATTTTCTGTACTAAATATTACACTTTTTTTTTTCCAGAGCCTCTTCCATCTCCTACACTAACTTGTGCATTGACTAATGGAAGCATTGAAGTCCAGTGCATGATACCGGAGCATTACAACACTCATCCACAACTTAACACGTACTCATGGGATTGTCCTTTGGAGCAATGTAAACATAACTCAACCCATATATATTTTAAGATGGAAAATGATCTTCCACAAAAAGTACAGTGTACTGCTAGCAATCCATTATTTAAAAGAACATCATCAATCATTCCGGAAACCTGTATCCCAAGCAGTGGTGAGTAAATAACTAAATGTGTCATGGAGGCTTTCAAACCACAGATGTGGTGACTAACCTAAGGTTCACAATTTTGAAATGTAAAACAAGTTACAATTTTTAACAGAAACCCCATTATAGATGTAAAGCTAACATTATTTAGCACTTTCTGTGTTGAGCACCATTCTAATACATATGTTAATTAATTCAATCTTCACTTATCCCTATTTCCTGGTGAGAAACCAACAGAGAGAGAGTTTAAGTTGTTTGCCCAAGGTAACAGCTAGTAAGTGGCAGAACCTGGCTTTGAGTAGAGGCTGTCTGGCTCTAGAGCCCATGGTTTTAACTATTCACAGTGCTGCTTTGTAATATTGTTAATAATCATTATGTTCTCAAAGGTTACATATCTACTACAGGAACATGCATTTGATCTGTTTCCTTAGGCCTAACACTAAGTTAATATCACGACAATCTGTCTTGGCTATGATTTTCTAATGTTGTTTTAGTATTATTTACATTTGCAATTTTTATTATGTTTTTTACATTATATCCCCAGTTTAACAAACAAAAAGGTCAGTGACTTGAAAGTGGTTTATTAAAATATAAAAGAAAAGATGAAAATAGTAAATATTGTTATTCAGAATAATATAATTGTAAATAGTGAACAGGATTCCAGGGCAAATAGAGAATATGGGTCTCTAGGGCTGGGATAAGGTGAGTCTATGAATGAAATTTTTCTGAACAAGCAGCTGAAACAGATAAGGGAAATTAGCAAATACAAGAAATATAAGAAACTTGGATTTTAACTGGTGAGCCACTCTAAGTCTCCCGTTTATTGTCTTTTCCGAACCCTTTCAAAGAATAACTTAAAGCCATTAAAGTTATGTTATTTTCAGACAAAGCAGAGTAACTTTTGGGAAAGACATTTTTCAAGAAGAAAAAGTGGACGTCCTCGTCAGGGCGGACAGCGGCAGCCGCAACTGCGGGCCTGGGGCTTGGGGCCTGGAGCCTGGGGCGGGGGCGAGGGCGGGCGGTCCCTCCCAGCACCTGGCGCGGCCCGCCCTGCCGCCCACCGTCCTGAAGGTCAAGGCGCTTTGTTCTGCATTGCGGGCGGCTTCCACGGCGGCGGCCCAGCGGAGGAGGCGTAGACTGCAGTGAGCCCGCTAGCTTGGCCAGCCCCGTGTACCCCGCGGCCCTAGCAGCATGCCGGGAGGAGCGTTCAGGCTTCTCGTTTTTTAGTTGGAGACGTCCAGGACCTCTTTATTAGATGTTTAGGAATTTCAGTTTTTCCGTAGGGCAGTGGTCATCGTGAGCCTCTGTGGGGTCAGGCTGGGCTAACTGGGGTTTCGATTTTAAGTTTCCTGTGGCCGAGGGCATGTCTGACTGGGAAGAAAGTCCTTGGCATGACTTCTTAGCTGTTGGGAGCTGTGCGGTGCGAGCGAGATGGGCGGCGTGCACTCCCCGAGGACAGGCCTGAGTGGCCTTAGCCTAGTTACTCACGGGACTTGGTTTACCAGACAAGGGGATAAAAACATTCAGATGGCAGATAACAGTTTTTCAGATGGGATTCCTTCAGATTCCGTGGAAGCTGCTAAAAATGCAAGTAATACGGAAAAGCTCATGGATCAGGTGATGCAGAATCCTGGAGTTGTGGCAGCTTTACAGGAGCGACTTGACAATGCCCCTCACACCCCTTCCAGCTACATGGAAACTTTACCTAAAGCAGTAAAAAGAAGAATTAATGCATTGAAACAAATTCAGGTGAGATGCGCTCATATAGAAGCCAAGTTCTATGAAGAAGTTCATGACTTGGGAAGAAAGTACACAGCATTATACCAGCCTCTCTTTATCAAGAGAAAAGAATTTATCACCGGTGATGTTGAACCAACATCTGATATGGAATCAGAATGGCACAGTGAAAATGAAGAGGAGGAGACATTGGCTGGAGACGTGAAAAAAATAAAGTAGTCATAACAGAAAAAGCAGCAGCAACAGCTGAAGAGCCAAATCCCAAAGGAATTCCAGAGTTCTGGTTTACCATCTTTAGAATTAGTCCAGGAATATGATGAACCAATCTTGAAACACCTGCAGGATATTAAAGTGAAGTTTTCTGACCCTGGACAGCCTATGTCTTTTATATTAGAGTTCCACTTTGAACCCAACGACTACTTTACTAACTCAGTCCTGAGGAAAACCTGCAAGATGAAATCAGAACCAGATAAGGCTGATCCATTTTCATTTGCAGGTCCTGAGATCATGGACTGTGACGGGTGTGTACTATTGACTGGAAGAAAGGAAAGAATGTTACTGTCAAAACCATCAAGGAAAAGCAGAAGCATAAGGGTCGAGGCACTGTTAGAACAATTACTAAACAAGTATCCAGTGAGTCATTTTTCAACTTATTCAATCCACTGAAAGCGTCTGGGGATAGAGAATCACTGGATAAAGATTCTGAATTCGTATTAGCCTCTGATTTGGAAATTGGACTCTTTTTCCATGAGCGGATAGTCTAAATTGGACACTTTTCCCATGGGCTGTGCTATGAGGACGATGACAATTTTGACGAAGGTGAAGAAGAAGAGGAGGAATTAGAAGGTGACGAGGAGGGAGAAGATGAGGATGATGCGGAAATTAACCCCAACAAGGAACCCAGCCAGCTGGCGGAATGCAAGCAGCAGTAGGAAGTGGAGGTGGGCGCCTGGCAGACCGGCTGTCGGGACTCCGGGCCTGTAGGGGAGGCCTCAGTCTTCGCCGCATGCGGCACAATCCCGTCGACAGCGCTTACTCCATCTAGTTCGTTTTCAAGTGCGTGATTTTCACTTTCACTTTTCTTTTTTCCTTATTGTTTTGCTTAACTTGTACAGTGGCAACTGAAATGCATTTCAGAAATAGGAGGTTTCGTCCAGTACCCTCTGCAGCCTTGGTGCCTGTAGCTCTGGACTTGCCTGGGCCTTTCCCTGGGGGAGGGCTCCATAGACCACGTTGGGGTGGGGTGGGGTGGGGGTCACTTGGTAAAAAGGGCCGAGGTCTGGTGATGAGGTTCCAGGGATCTAGAACCTCTCCTACCGCTCCTGCAGTTGGACTGAATTCTTCCCTTTCATTTGAAGAAACCCACTTGCTGTTTCCAGCCGCTTAATCTGCCGAGTGTGCAGTCTGCATCACCAGCTGTATGCTAATCATCTCAAAAGGACTATGTAGAGTAGGGCCCTGTTCTCCTTAGGATATTGCTTCTTGATTTTCTTCTTTTAGGGTTGGGTCAGGGTTGTGGCACACCACCTCAGGCGAGAGCTGCCATAGGTCACTTCATATTTGTTTATCCCTTCTTGCCTGGGAGGACTGTGGCCTTTTGCTGTCGCTCGTCCTTGCCATTTCTGAACCACCCTGGTGACCTGAGCAGGAAGATGTGCCACTTCTTAGCAGGGGCAAGGGCTGTGCGGAAGAAACACTGCTTCCTGCCACCAGGGCTGAAGACACGAGCCTGTCCTCGTGACATAGGCACCGCCCTGCTGCAGGAGCCGGGATTCCGCGATCTTCTCCAGTGAGGGGCTGGGCTGGGAAGTCCTGCGTTTCATTTGAGCATATGAGCGTCAAGTCCTGCTTTCTCAGTAGCCCCCTTGCTGGGCCCTACCATTCATCCTGTCTGAAGGTCCGGGTTTGGTGTGACTGCTTGGTGGCTGGTGAGTGGGGTTTCCAAGTGGGTGACAGTGCTCTCCGGCAGCCTGGGATGGCCGTGTCCGCACTGACCAGGCCTGTAGAGAGTGCTCAGCCTAACCTTAGAACACATTTATAACTGAATACAGTGTTTTCAATTTGTACGTAATAGTTAGAATATTCTATTAAAGTTATGAAACATGGAGAAAAAAAAGAAAAAGTGCAAATGAGTTCCAATTTATAACTGACAGAGAAAAGATCAAACCCACAGAAGTGTCACTCTGTTTGTACAAGTCACACAATTGCAAGAAGTTTTTAAAACAAGCTGCAAAGTTATAATAGTTAAGCTTGCAGCAAACACTCCTTTATTAATTCTACCTTTTGAGTGTTACATAATACCTAAGGCATACAATATGGAAATGCGATTTGTTGTAAAAGCAGATAGTTGCTTTATAATGGGAACAAAAAATAAAACCAGTACGCTTTTGCCTTTTGGTATATGTATGCTGCATCTAACTGACAAGGAGGAAGAAGATGACCACATATAGACAGAGCAAGCAAGTTGAAATCTTGAAAAGTTTTAAGTGTTCCAAGAGACAAAATACTTGAAGGAAATAATTTCTGAGTAAGATCCCTCTACAGAATTACATGGAATATTTTAGGGGATTTTTAAAGATTTTGCCCTGGTACTAGTTTTAACTTTATGTTTGCCATTAGAGTTGAAGACACAAAGTAAGATTACTCTTACTGAAAGTAAGGTTACTTTCCTTGTAGATAGTCTAGTAAAAGATCATAAGAGGGAATAATATTCCTCTTATTGATTTGAAATAAGTACTATTAATTTGAAAAAATTATTTTAATTATTAAATAATGGTGATTCATCCATCCTTCTTTTACATTTTCTTCCAAATTGATAGTTCACATATATACAATAGATTTTGAAAGTTTGAGGAATGTTGCTTGATAGGTCTTAGGTTTAAATCCTGGAGTAGTGTTGACATCTGAGACATACATCTGGGCTTCTGACCCTGGTTTCTGTTAACCACATGTTAGAGGACCTTCTCCTTTTAAAATACAAACCAGGGCCCCCTCTTTTCCTTTCTCCGCCATCGTGGTATATTCTTGCCTCCACTTCTCGCCATGTCTTCTCACAAGACTTTCAGGATTAAGCGATTCCTGGCCAAGAAACAAAAGCAAAATCGTCCCATTCCCCAGTGGATTCGGATGAAAACTGGAAATAAAATAAGGTACAACTCCAAAAGGAGACATTGGAGAAGAACCAACCTGGGTCTATAAGGAATTGCACATGAGATGGCACATATATTTGTGCTGTCTGAAGGTCACGATCACATTACCGTATCAAACTGAAAATGTCACCACTCTCTGGAGAGTTCGACGTATTTTCCTCTCTGAATCTATTATGAATGCGTTGGTTGGCTGGGTTCAGTAATAAATATGTGAGGCCTTTCATTTAAAAAAAAAAAAAAAGTACAAACCAGGAACTGAACTTAATGATCTTAATGGTTCTTTTGAACAATAACAATCTAGGATCTTTTTTTTTTTTTTTTCCCTGTGATGATTTTTGAATGCTTTTGTGTGGAACCACATGCATCATAACAGATATAAATCCGTGAAAGTATAACAGTTAAATACTAGATCTTACTTTTTCAGGTTTTGATTTCTCATCTAAACTTTCCAATGTTTTGTTAGTGAAGCAAACTAACTCACATTGACTAGCCTGCTCTTCTTTAGCAAACCCTTCAAATAAATGCCTCATTTCCTCCTCACCACTGTCATTTTAGATTGGCCAGACGGTTGTTACTTACCTTTTAAGAAGGAGGAGACAGGTGGCCAGGCATGATGGTTCACACCTGTAATCCCAGCACTGTGGGGGGCTGAGGCAGGCGAATCATGAGGTCAGGAGATTGAGACCATCCTAGCTAACACGGTGAAACCCCATCTCTACTAAAAATACAAAAAATTAGTCGGGCATGGTGGCAGGCACCTGTAGTCCCAGCTACTCAGGAGGCTGAGTCAGGAGAATGGTGTGAACCCGGGAGGTGGAGCTGGCAGTAAGCTGAGATGGCGCCACTGCACTCCAGCCTGGGTGATAGAGCAAGACTCCGTCTCAAAAAAAAAAAAAAGAATGAGGAGACAGGTTGAACCAGGTGGGGTGACTTGCCCAAGGTCATTTAAGTATTGGAGATAGAATTAAAATTTAGGTCTTTGAATTCTAGAGTGTTTTTGTATGATACCATCCTGACTATACATCTCAAGTCAAAGTTTAAAGTTTTCTTTGATTTATTCATAGGAGTGAGCTAGAGAAACCTATACCATGTAGATATACATAGTAGATATTGGTCAAATGTTACTTGATCTTAAATCTCATTTTCTCATGTTTCTTGTAACATTTTGTCTAATAGGACCTTTTTGTGGTTTGTGGTCATTTTAGCCATTACATCTGCTGTCATACCATCACTGCAACCCAGAAATGGGGTGATGGGGTTATTAACTAGTTAAACACAATCTAAAGGAGAATTTTAGAGATAGTTAAGATTGACGATGGAGTTCTTGTCCACCTCCTATTGTATTGAGGGAATAAACTAATATTTACTGAAGGCCTCCTCCACAACAAACTCCTGTAAATGATTTACATAAATGTGTCACATTTAATCCACACAACAAACCAATGGTGTGGGTATTTATAAAGGAGGTATCTGAGGCACAGTGAGACTAAATAACTTGACCAAATATACACATTTATTAAGAGCAAAGCCAGGATTTGACATTCAACTCCATCTGAACTCAAAGCACTGTGTCTTCCCCACTGTACTGGTAAGTGAAAGTAAGAAGATAACTCAAAGATGTAGAATTATAATCTGGAATTGGAATTTACTTCCATTGATAAACCATTTGAAAATTGCAGCTCCAAGGCATTGGGAGATGGAAAGAAAGCTAGTGAGCAATGATTTATTGCCTTTGTGTCATGCTCCTACAGTTTGCTCCTCCTTATCTCCTTATCTGTGGTCAGAGTAGATAGCATGGATGCCCATGCTACAGATTTTCAGAGACCTCAAGGTTAGAAAGCTGGTTTATGGGAGCATGTGAATATAGACGGACTTACACAGATTAGAAAATTGAGAAGTTGAGGGCAGTAGAAAATTCTGGATAGAAGAGAACGTAGGATTGGGAGTGAGAAAACCTGTGTCCTAGACCTGATTTCATTGCTTACTGGCAGTGTGAATGTGGGGCATAATAACACTTACTTTACAAGGGCTGAGGAAATTAAATAAAATAGCATGTGGGAAAGGGTATTGATGATGGTTAGTCACCATAAAACTGGTAGTTGTTATTCAGGATACAGGAAGAGTTTCAAGAGACAGGACATTTGGTATAACATTATATACAACCAATGGTTTAAGGAGGACAATGTAGAAGAGGTTGTGGATTTGCACTTCGGAGGTCATTGTTGACAGACCTTGTGAATAGATGAGGGTAGGAACCAGATTCCTGGGCTTTTAAGTAAGAAGAGGGATAGTCCAATAGGCCAGTTATATATCTGGCTGTGAAAGAGGAAAAGAAAATCTGAGTACCTTTGAGAGTCAAAGGTTATTTCCAGATAAAGAAACCAAGTGGACTTCATCATTCTCTTTTAGATAACTGCTGGGAAGAAGTAGGGTCATTGTAACACCCTCCACATTGACACAGAACTGTAATCAGGAGCCCAGGGAAAGTGCATATTTTTTGAAGGAGTAGGCAAGAGGATATTCTCTAGAGTACCAGTTTCCAACTGTTGTCCACATTTATGGACCAAGAACATAAAAGAAACATTGCTCAGCTTCGACCTGAAGTTATGTAGAACAAACATTTTTCTGAGTTCAACTAGATGATTTTTTTTTCATAGCTGGGGTGGACATTATGTTACCTGTAGGCAGTAAGTCACTGAAGGACCCTGCAGGTAGAGCCTCAAAAAAACACCCTTTGATCTTACTCCTTAAAAAAAATGGGAGAAATTGGAAAAATTCATCATAGAAACACAAAAATATGGAGAAGTAGGAAAAAGGAGAAGAAGGAAAGAAATGCAGCATAGGAAATAATATTATGTAGACTGAAATGAAGAATGTTAAGAATATTTGAACAAAGTTTGAACCAGATGAAATGTAACAGGCAGAAACAGAAGTAGGAGAATTTTTGGACTGATTTAAGTTGGTCTCTTGTGACTTTTATGACTTTCCACCAGGAAGAATAGTGATTAAGAATGTGCACTCTGCTTTTAAAAATTGA